GGACCGCCTAAAGTTGGCAAGACAACCCTTATGCGATGCCTCATTAAAAACTACACCCGTCAGAGTCTTCACCAAGTCAACGGACCTGTCACAGTAGTAACGGGTATTTTTTTTGAGTTTTATTATATTTAACTTCAGCTCCCTTAACTGCTGTTGACCATTCTGCCGTTTTGTAATACATAATTAAATTTGATTGAATAGTAATTTATTAACATTAAATTTAACCAGGTTCCGTTATTTGTTTCACATTACGAAGGTCTTCATACGTACATGACGTTTCACAACGAAACGAGTTTCACTTAACTTTGACATTAACCGTAACTTATTGCTATATATACTATATTAGCATAATCAGAGGGAAAACAAAATATAATCCCGATGGTTCGGGGTTGCTACCAAGAATGACAACTTCCGGCAAAAAAAACTACTGGTACCGGATTTACACGGCGAAAACTTCAAGTTAAGTAATTCATTTTGCAGCTATACCGCAGTAGTGCAAGTTGGGTGGGAATCATTGCACCGGGTTCTACCGCATTATTACATCACCCTTTGCTTCGAGTAGCTATGTAGGATCATTTAAGAAGGTCGCGGCTCTATGGTATTTTAGCTCCTGCTTTGCATATGACGCATATTCCTGGTCATTGAGTTGGTTCGAATGCCATTGTCTGCTGAAATGTTCCCTCTGGGTGACTATAAGCAAGGGGGTGGTGCTGTATTCCATTAGTGAAAATCCGGTGTCAGTTGTTACAATACGTTGATATTGTGCTTTCGTAGTTGACCTTGTTTTATACGAACTTTTCCTATTTAAGGCAGGAAGCGGCGTATCACGTTGATGGAATGCAATAATGACATAAACTCGATGATCGATGTTTCGAAAGTGGCTGATCTGGTTTGTGACTGCTTTCGGCTTTTGCTCCTTCTAAGAAGACCAATATTTTCCTTGCTTTCAGGTGCTGTTGCTAATCGACGCCAGTTTCGGTTTTGAAATGGAAGTATTTGAATTTCTGCACATATGCCAAGCCCATGGCATGCCAAAGATTATCGGCGTCTTGACCCATTTGGATTTGATTAAGAGCGCTAAGCGCCTGAAAAAGACCAAGAAGGAACTAAAGCAGAGGTTCTGGGTCGAAATCTATCAGGTAACCGTGACGCTTCGCCATGCTTTTGGTTACAGACAGGTGCTTTTTGGATCGATATTTTCACAGAGTCAAGGTCAAAATGCCGCCGTTGAGCGGATTTTCAGGCTGCAATTATCACAATTGACCTTCAAATACGTGAGTTCGTTGCGAAATAAACGCGGAAATATTAGTCAGCAGAGATAAGTAGCCGTGAACAATGCGGTGGCAATGCTAGAAGTAAGACCCTTTAAAGACCGGCCAGTTTTCTCAAAAGATACCGTCAAGCTTTATGACCGTCGCTGCTGCCGCACCTCGAAATTTATATCTCGAGGTCAATTTACCACTGTTCCCCTGCGCTTCCGGGTTATTCATTGAGCCTCGAATTTTAGGCGTCTGCTTAACACTTCATTTATTCGTTGAAGTTATTGATACCGAGACTCTGTGGAAGAATTAAATACGAAACAAGTTCTTCTTTAGTGATCATCCGGTACAGATCTGCTATACTTATCTTGTTTCATAGTTTTGTTTGTCGTTTTGCTTCTAATACTCTACTTTTCTAATCCTTTTATTTTTCTCGTTCATTTAACATTATCAAAAATTTATGATTTCATATTTCGAACATCTTTTTCAGGGAGCTAAGCTGTTCAACTTGAGCGGAATGGTTAACGAACAGTATTCAAAAAACGATGTTAAGAATCTTGCCAGGTTTATATCCGTTGTTCGATATCATCCACCGACATTTCGAACTTTACATCCTTACCTCATAATGGACAGGTGAGAAGCAGTGTGGTTCAGTGTGTTTACTACTCACTGAGGGACGCAAGCTAACAATTAATGATTTGTTGTCCGTTAATCTTTTGAGATCAACAAGATTCAAAGAGGCGCTTTGAAATTTATTGCTTTAAAACTGTTACACAACCTTTTTTCAGAATGGAGGATCTGACGGATGCCGAAAAAATTCACTCAAATCAAAAGTGTGATCGAACGGTTTCCTGTTATGGTTATGTACGCGGAAGTAATTTTCAAAACCATTCTACCGTCCACATGCCAGGTAAAGAGAACGGATGGATTGAGCAGCGGGTTTATGCATTAATTTTTTATTTCGAATATAATTCTCATAAAGTTCTTTTGTGATTTTTCTCATTTAGAGTTGGCGTAATATTTTTCAAGGTAGTAGGTGTCCTTCAAAAGAAATTTTCACTGGAGTCTAAATGCTGGTTTTAAGTTCAAGTTTACACATCTAGCTTATTTAAATTGATTTGTCATTCCCTTAATTATTAACTGATTTGGTTCTGATTCAGGGATTGCGCACTCATTCTCGAATTCGCGGCAATATCCGCAACGATCTTTCACCTCAAGGGTGGCAAACCACCTGCAGATATGGTCAGAGTAGTTATTCACTTGTTTGTTTGGGTTCCAAGTTCGTCGATTTTGCTGGTGCTTTTTCGAATTACTTTGGTATTGGGGCAAGGTTGCAAGAGTATGATGAAAAGTTTGTTTGTTACGAGAAAGAAGAGTACTGGCAATTGAATCATGTAGCAGAGGAATTTATGCTGGACTGATTTTGTTGGTCTTCTCCTGCCTTGTTTGTTTTCCGTTCCACCGTAACTACTTGCTAAGTATTTCTTTCACACCACTCGTCTTTCCTGCGGACGATGTTGTTTGCATCCTATTTTATGAAGTACTTCCTTGGTATGTTGTCTCAGTATTTCTGATAAGACTCACAAAAACAGTCCAGCTTGGCTTCCTCCGTTACATGATTAAATTGCTAATACATGAATGCTGTTTGAACTCGTTTTTGATCAAAAACTAATCTCCATTCTTTTGTAACTTTGCGGTAATAACAGAAATAAAATTCAATAATACGTCCAATGAAGCCACAATCCAGCACCAAAACAGAGCTCGTCTTCCAAAAAAACGGAAGAAAAATTACTCACATTTTGACCCTACCCACAAGTGACATGCTGCCCTAAGATGCATGATCGGTGCTGATGTTGCACCGGTTTCATCAGTGGCAGCTCATGCTGTAAATGCAAAATAAACCATGTAAATAATTTTTAAAAATCTATTAATAAATGAGTAGTAAACTTTAATCTAAAACCAGTGCCTTGATTACCAGGAAAACTTCTTTTGCAGAACACCTGCTACGTCGATTATAATTTTTTAGAGCATTAATATAAACACCGGATTGCGCTTCTCAATTGTATTATTAATCATGACATCAACGATTCCTTCTTCACTGTATATAAAATCTACAGCATTTTAATCATATTTTGGCATTCTTCTTTGCACTTTATATCTGTTGTTTCATTGTCAATAATTGCGACATGGGAGCTTTAACCTGTTGCACTGATGATAAATTACTTAGAGGAGGTAATAGACTTCTTGCTTCCACATTTCTTAGAATGGGAAATGTC